TTTAATCCCAAGGCCAGAACTAAAATGAGCATAGAAAATTCTGGTACATAAAGAATAACTTTATGAGTAACTATGGCCTTCAGATATCATTGCTCTTCAGTGGGTACTTCCTTCCTTTTATAAAACACCATTAATTTTTTATTTTTCCTGGGCCAGCAGCTGGAATGGTGATTAAGGTGTTGGACTTGACTCCCACATGGCTGACTGTGGTTTGAGTTCCAGACCCGGAGGCTTGAAAATCATATTGGGTGTGTGTGCATACGTGCCCAATATCCTAGGAGGAGAGTAGAGAAGGGATTGTGGTGTAGCCATCTCCCCTGGAGGGTGATTTCTCACTTTCCCTTCCGCTGTCTCTCTCTCTGGCAAGTGTATGTGCCCTATGGCAAAAACCTAAAAAAAATTGGAAGTGGGCATATGCACTCACTTGAGAGAGATAAAGAGACAGAGAGGGAAGGTAAAAAGGTACTCCCTGTGATCCCTTCTCCATCTCTCTTTCCTTTGGGTTTCTGGGCATACATGACACACATACCTGGACAAAGCACCATTTTCAAGAGGCATTCACGAGTATGTACGTAAGAGAATTTACGTCTCCGGGGGCCAGCAAGTCGTGTAGTGGTTAAGAGGCTGGACTCCCACGTGGCTGACCTGGCAGCTTGAGGCTCACGCCGGGAGCATGTATGCATGCCCGAAATCCTGAGAGGAGACTGGAAAAGGGATTGAGGCATGGCCGTCCCCCTGGAAGGGGTCATTTCTCACTGTCTCTCTCTGCATCTCCACAGAGACACATGAGTGCATGCATCCTATAGTAAAAATCTCTCTCAAAAAAAAGAATTTGTAGCTTTAATCCACAGAATCATTACTGTGATAAACATAATGGATTCATAAGGAAAAATCCAGTGATGCACAGACACAGCGTCTAGAAAGCTGATCCTCTAGGATGAAGAACAAATGAATATAGGGGGGTGACAAGAAGCGCTTGGTTTGAGGGTGTAGACAGCTGTATTATAACATTATGTTTATTTATCTGTCTCCCAGGCTAGAATGTAGTTCCTTGAGATCAAAGACTATAATACAGTCAACTCTCTGTCTAGGTCTTATTACACAATATTACACAATGCTTAGAACATAATAAGTGGTCAGCTGTTGACAACTGAACTCATTTTTAAAAATTGTCTTTTTTTTTTTAAGTTGCCAGAGGGCAAGTGCAGTCACCAGAGGTAGCCGGAAGAACAGAGAAGGGGGAGAGGGGGAAAGCAGCCCCCTTTAGGGTATGGTCACACCAATCCTTTCTCCATTTCTCCATTCTGTTGGGATTGTTGGACATGCACACATGCCTGGTGTGTTTTTCAAGCTGCCAGGGCTTGGATTTGAACCATGGTTGGTCATGTGGGATCTGGTTTCCTTACCACTAGGCTATGAGGCCAGCCATGTTATCTGTTTATTACTGAGCTGTAGGAGTTTATTTATTCTGGATGCAAGTCCTTTGTCAGATATATGTCTTGCTAATATTTTCTCTCAGCCTGTGGCTTGGCTGATTTGTTTTCTTAATGGTCTTTTTTACTTAGTAAGAATTTTTGGTTTTATGAAGTCAAATTAATTACTGTTCTTTTTTTTTTTTTTTTTAATGGTTAAAGCTTTCTGTATCTTAAGTGTCAAGTTCTTTCCTGAGTTCGTTTCATTTTATTTTATATTTCTGAATCTCAGATAAGGTCTTAATTCTTCCTGACCTCCACACAACCAAGGGAAATGCCTGCCGAGCCGACAGTTCTTCCACAGGCAATTCCAACTGAGCAACCGAGGGAAAGGTCTGCAGGTATCCCATGGGGTTTTGTAGTCATGCCTTTCCCCACCCCCTTCACAGTTTTTGCGAAGCACTTTTTATATATGTCATATCTCATTCATCCTCACGCCCACTTACCAAAGTAGGCAGAGCCATCTTCATTTAAAAAATAGGAAACTGACGCACAGGAAACTTAAATGACTTGCTCAAGATCATTCAGTGAATAAATAACAAGATTAACACGGGACTCAGGAACCCTAACTTTTCCCTTTATCAGTTTATAATGTAATGAGAGTATACTGTACATATGGCTTAATTTTAAACACCACAGAAAAACATTTACTGAGAACATGCCAATAAATTTTCTCCTGGAAGTGGTTTGTTCTACGTTAAAACAATGTTTAGGCCTGGTAGCCAGTTAAGAAAGCCGGACTGCACATGGCTGACCATGGTTTGAATCTCGGCCCAGAGACCTGAAAACCATGCTAGGCACGTGTGTGCACACCTCGAATTCCAACAGCATGGAGAAATAGAGACAGGATTGTAACTACTCCCCTTGGGTAGGTACGTCCTTCCCCTTCCCTTGTCTCTGGTGAGTGCACATAACCCCTGGCAATTATTTAAAAATGAAAAAAAAAAAAAGGGGGGGGGACCAGCAGATGGCATAATGGTGATATCGCTGGACTACCACATAATCTACCGTGGTTCAAGTCCTGGACCCAGTGGCTTAAACCTCACACCGGGCGTGTGCATGTGTGCCCAAGAACCCAAGAGGAGAATGGAGAATGGAGAAGGGTGTGTAGTGTGACCATTCCCCTCCATCCCCCGTGGGGTGATTTCTTGCTTTGTGTCTCTGTCTCTCCGGTGAGTAAAAGTTCCCTTTAGCAAAAATCTCACTAAAAACAAAACAAAACAAAATAAAACAAAACAAAACAAAATACAAGTTTCATATTGCAGTCCATAAACCCTAACGTATGTTGAACACTGCTAATAATGAAAAGCTGAAATGTTTCAAAATCCAAAACTTTTTGAGAGCAGACATGACACAAGTGGAAAATTCCATATATGACCTCACATGACGAAGTGCAGTTAAAATTCTGCAGTATGAAAGTATAAAGTTACCCTCAGGCTGTGCATATAAGGTGTATATGGAACATCAGTGAATTTCATGTTTAGACGTGGATCCTATCCCCAAGATATCCCATTATGTATATACAAATATTCAAAAAAAAAAATCCAAAACATAAAACACTTTTGGTTCTAAGCTTTTCAGATAAGGGATATTCAACCTGTAAAGGTGAGCAGAAAATATGGAGGTGGAAGTTCATTCCAGACATTTTTTTTGGGTATCCTGATTAAAATGCACTGACATGGAAATGAAGATGCAAGGAACAGAGGAGCAAGAATAAGAAGGAAGTGGGAGAAAGTGCTCTCAGATGAGCCCTCTAGCTATGTCCGCCAGGTACACTGAGAGGTGGGCTCAGCCAGGATAAACCTACAAAGTGGCAGCTCTTTGACAGCAGAGAAAGTTTTCTATGAGCTCCTTATTCCCGGTCCTAGACCCATGGTATCTCTTGGCCTATCATAATATTCTACTTATTAATGACTATGATTGAGCATTTGCATGCCAGGTAATTTACATACAGCATCTCTAGTTCTACTGTAACACTGTCAAGTAGGCATAAACATTCCCATGCACAGATAAGAAAACCAAATAGAGTGTACAAGTATTAATAGTTTTCCCACAACTACATAGCTGAGGTGAGATTAAAACCCGGGCCTACCCAATTCATAATCATTTCCACTATAACTGTGTCCCAAAGAAAACGGTTGGGGCCACACCCTCTTCCTAAAGTTTTTGCATTTACCCTGCTCCCAGGAGCAGCTGCTTCCTATTGTTTCTGAACAGGCTCACATTCCACCTCCACTGACATTTGGAGGTTTTATCTACCTCTCTCCTGAGCCTTCAGTCCCTTTCAAATTACTGCCCCCATGTTCTGATCACATTCATCAATTCCACCACCTGCCCCAGTTCCCAGCCCTCATCTCCCTGTCCTATTCAGGGTCTCCCTAACTCCCATTTCCCTGCTCTGTGGTTCACATTTCTACACACTTCTGGAAATTAACACACTCCCACAATTTTCCAGTGTATTCCTTAACCACACATTCATGTGACGTGGATCTACTGTCTCCTATTATCATGTTTTGAATTCTTCATCAAGGTGGCCAATGGAAATGAGAATCTGAAGAACTTTTTCTACCTGCTCAGCAACAAGGCAACTCTAGGCAGGAAAACTCCAGAAGAAAGGTCTCCCTTTCTTTGGTTATCAGCAACTTCCTACCAGTCATAGAACCCCTTTCCTCTTTCTAGGCTTCCTGAAGGAAGATGGGGAAGACAATGGTACTGAGTTGCAATTTTCTAGCCATCTGACCTTGACTTGAGGTTCTGAGGAGCCTCTGTAGGACTGATAACCTTTTTCCTTACTGGGTCTTCTCTTGGATAGGATTGAAAGAAAGAGGGCAGCAGGGTGGATTTGGGAGTGTTAGCTTAGGTCTTTCCTGCTAGAAATCTAAGTCGGTGTAAGAAGGCTGATTATAACAGGTCAGGTGTCTTTGTCCTAGGCATTGCAATGGACATCCCCCTCTCCCAGATACGATATCAACATTCTTTCTTATTCCCTCTTTCTCTGGAGGCTGCTGGCTCCCTCGGCACCAGGAAGTATGGTCTGTGTGACTATGTGCATGTATGTATGTATGAATGTGTATGTGCAGGGAAAGGCTTCCCAGGCCTCCTCCTGAAGGCTGTGGTGGGTCCTGCAGCCTTATGTTCTCCATCATAAACTTACAGTAGCGTTTGGAGTATCTCCTCCCATTCAGGCTTTGTCTCTAGATCTGATCCCGTTCACCCTGCCCCACACTACAGAGCTTCATTAAAATGCCTACAAAGGCAGGTGGAAGTCTTCTGCTTCTTGATCAAATGGCTTAAACAGCAGCAGCCCAAGCTTCTGCTTTTCCCCATCCCTGTACCACAGCCCAGATGTATGCATGGATGAGCTTGTCTCATGCATGCGCCCCGCTCACTCATATTCTCTCTCCCTCTCTCTTTCGGAAAGACAAAGCCGAGCCTCAGGAGCCAGGGCCCAAACCTGCTCATCTGCTGATCGGTTATCCTGGCGGCTCTGCCCTGCCCTGCCCCTCCCCCAGCTCCGCTGAGCCATACCTCTGTAAGGAGCCTTGAGCTGGACCCGGAGGCTTCTGTTCCTTTTGCACTCCGACCAAGCTCTACCTCGACAGTTCCAGCTGAGGCAGTGTTCCACGGGACCACACAGGGGGAACTGGGCCGATTTCCTAAAATCTGCTTTCTGCTAATACAATGGCATCGTTGCTAATGCAGGGAGGCTGCGCAATCCCAGCCCCAGTCTCCTTGCTGCTGCCGCGCCGCTGGTGCTGCGGTGACGTTGCTGCTAGGTGCTGCGGTGACGTTGCTGCTAGGGAAGGGGTAAGGTAAAGAGCAGGCATGCCCACAGTACAGCACTCAGCCTCCCTCTCCGGCAGTCCTCGTGGGCCCGTTAGCCTTGGGAAGGGGGAGGGTAGAGAAAGAGGCAGCCACAGAGGGAGGGCAGTCAGTACTGGGAGATGGAGGACTCTCCAGACAGCAAAGAAAGATAGGGAGAGCTGGGCTAGACCCCTCTTGTCCTTAGGAGCCTCAGGGAAGATGTCTGGGCAGAGCCTTGGGGCTTCCTTCCTTCCTTAGGCCCCTCCTTCAGATCTTAGCCAGAAACCTCTCCCCCTCCCTTTGCCTACTCTGAATGACTCCTTGTTTTCCGGCTTTTTCCTCTCACTAGGATTCCAGACCAGCCTGAGGGTGGAGCAGTCAGCCTGGGAGGGACGGGATTCTGGAAGCCCCATAGGGAGGCTGCAGGACTAGTCTCTTTTCTACCAGCAGCAACACCAAGCTCAGTCCTATGGATGCCCAACCAGCCGAGTGGCAGACTTCTGGGGTGTGCCTCCACTGGCCATGGGGTCTGTCTCAGAAAGGAGAAACTGCAGGCAGGCTTCTGTAAAAGGGTGGTAGTGGGTCTCAGGACCAAACTGGCTACAGGCCCACTTCTGAGTCCAGTTCAGTTTGGGGGATCCTCAGAGGGTCCACTAGCTATGGCTGAAGCAGAACTGGCCCTTCTCACTTACGTCTGTTCTTGGTCAGCGCTGAGTTGGGTCAAGCTGCGTTTGTGTAGAGGGGCCAGGAAGTCTATCTTTTCAGGGAAAGGAAGGCTAAGGAAAGGGAGTGAACCTAGGCCAGAGAAAAATCTCAGCTCTGCCTGTAGATCTACAGAGTCGTCTGCCTCTCCCTGTTCCACCCTCCACAGGATCTGGCCTAGTTTGGTGGGAAAAAGTGAACAGTGAAGAAACCATAGCCAGAGCCAGCTGGGGCAGTGTGTGGCAGTTTCTGTCCACTTCATGCCACTGCTCCCTAATGCTGCCCTTGAACACAGAGATGGTCTCAGGCTGGGCTTGATCCCCAAGCACTTGCTCTGCTCAGGTCTCCCCCCAAAGTTGGCTACAATCTGGGGTTTCAGATATCTAGAAAGAAGCCTTCAGAGAAAGTGCTGGCCAAGACCTCAGCCACTGCTTCCCAGGACCTGGAAGAAGTGTCTCCCCCCACCTCCCCCCCCTTTTTTTTTTCTTCTATTCTCTGTGAAACCCATGTGTCCACTGACACTATGTTGAACTGAGTTAAAGTGTAGAGAAAAGAACAGAAGTGACTAAGACCAATCTCCAACCTTGACTTAGAGGGGCATGGCCCCTTGATCCTACAAAGCAGAGAACGATGACGAAGGGAAAGCGGCACAGAGGCTGCAAGGAGCAGAAATGGTCACTGACCTTCCCTCTTCTCCACCTGATAACCACAGAGGGGGAAGGGTAAGCAGCTGTAGGTCAAGCTCCACAACCAAGTGCTTGGAGTTCCAGTTGCTTATTGTTGAGAGTTTGGGGCCCAGATCTTTGTCCCTGAAATTTCTGTGAGGCTAAGCCATGCATTGTGCTGGACAGTCAGTACTTAGGAAATGTTTCCAGTTGCCTAGGGAGGTAGCAACCCTCATACTTGCAGTGCTTGGCTTAATTGCCATATCACAGACCACATCATCACCTACTTCCCGACCAGTACTGCCAAATATCTATAGGGCTTCTAGTGAAAGATCACATTTTCCAGCCAGAAACTATATATATA